AGCGAATGCATCCCCAATGTCTCCTCTGATATAAACCCATGGTGTTACTAAAATGGCTTCCATGGAAACCCAGGAGGATTATTTGACAAATTTTGGTGATCTTCAGTTATTTTTTAAGCTTAGACTGTTCACTGGATCTGCATTCTTCTTTGTTTTGTTAAAAAAAATATCTTAAAAATAGCATGGAATGTGGTTTGCAAACCTAATGGCTTCGTTAAAGTGACAACAAAATTAAGCTGGCCACTAAGAGGCTGTAATAAAGGAGTAGGCAGAGTCCGTCTGCCTCCTCATACCAAATGAAATCTTGTTCAGTAGCACAGTATGTCATCAGAGTCATAGAATTATGGAATATTTGAGGTTGGAAGGGATCTCTGGAGATTGTCCAGTCCAACCCGCCCGCTCAGAGCAGGGTCGCCTAGAGCCAGTTGCCCAAGACACTGTCTGGATAGCTTTTGAATATCTCCAAGGGTGGAGACTCCACAACCTCTCTGGGCAGTTGATTCCAGTGTTAGACCACTCTTAAAGTAAAAAAGGGGGTTTTTTTAATGGTCTTTTTCTTATGTTTTAATATCATTCTAATTTGCTTTACTACAAAAGCAATTCTAGCAAGTTAAGATATTGCTTGCCTTTAAAAAAAAATAAAAATCACTGCCAATGAATTACCTAGTCTACCCCAGGGCTTGCAACTTGGTTTTCACACGTAATGTTACATCACCCTTCCTCACAGTTCAGAAGGCTATGAAACCACAAAATAGCCATCACCAGTTTGGGTAGGAAATTACGCTATTGTTTCCTGTCCTGGTAAATTAAATTGCAGGGGAAAGGCTTATCCCAATTCTCTGACCATACCAAATCCTGCAGACTTTTAATAAGAACATTAATAGCGATACACTTAAACTGAAGTTCAAGTGTAGGTGTGTGTAGCAGCATTTATTTTCTTGATTCCACATCTTTATTTGAAGACATTTCTTGTCTGACAAGTATTATTTACATCTATTGGCTACTTTTCAAAAGGCTGTTCAGTATTAGCAGTATGTTCCAGCTCCTCTTCCTCCTCATTGGTGTTGTGTTGACTCTCTCTTCTCTGCCTTTACTCTGCAGGTAGTGACATTACAATGTGTAAAGTGTATATCGACCCAAACATCTACAGGTCTGAAGCCTTAGTCTGAAACTCCAATATGTAGGAAAAGCAGCATTTCACGAGCGCTCTACCTCACGTAGGTGTATGTTATCCAGTAGAGAACAAAGGTCCTGAAGATTGTATATAGAAGCAGCTGAAAGAACGTGAGCAGTCCTCAAGACAGCATGTCAGGTTCTCATTTAGAAAGAGACTGCCTGCTTTTAAATTGGATTTACAGTCTGTTTGGAAGCTGCTTAGCTCCCAAATATAAACACATCTAGTGTGCATATATGCATATATATACACATGCATGCATACAAACATTCTAGGTTTCAATGATTAAATAATAGATCTGAGCAAAGGTTAAAATCAGGAAGGGAGCACTGAGATACGATGTTAGAGGCACATACACATGAAAGCAATTGTTAAACTTAATCTCTGGGTGAACATTTTAAATACTGCACCCTTGGAGTGTGTAACTGCGCCTTCTCCAAATTCGAAAGGTCCGCAGCCAAAAGGTATGTGTTACTTAAAACCTTGACAGTAGCAAATAAATGAAAAATAAGAGAGTGATGAGGTCAACATATCATGATGGATGTCTTCTCCTCGTACATTTGAAGTTACAGCTTGCAGGCTGCTTGAAGGTCTTGCTATCAGCACCAGTCTGCACAGCAAAAAAGGAGGAAGGTGAACAGATGGCAACATTTTAGTGTGTGGATTAAAGATAAATTTAGTGCCAAAAGGGAATTACTGTTGTTTAAAATGCAAAGCTTTCTATTTATTCTTCTCTAACTCCAGACTTCTGGTAGTACAATTTCTGACAATCATACTGTTCTTAAAAGTACTCCCTTTTTCAATCTAAGGGGTTTTATTTATTTATTTATTGATTGATTGATTGTAGCATTACAAACAAATTTGAAAAACTATCACACAGCTAGAACACAGTGCTGCATTAAGCATGGACTCCAAATTTCAAGGACTGTCAAAACCAAAGGCCTGCCAGTATTACTTACCTTTTCACTAGATCCATCCGAGTCAAATACATGAGGTCAGCACAACTGTCAGCATTTGCTGAAGCCAACAGATCACTCTTAATATAGGATTTTTACCAGCTGCATTGCATGAGAATATTCTGTAACATATTTGCAATGTGAAATATGCTAGGAAGGGCAGCAAAACTGTTAAAATTCTAGTATACAGTGTGCAAAAGCTATATACAGGGGTTTGAGGGGGGTGTGTGTGTGTCCAATTTTCCTTGTTCATGTTTTAGGGCAAAATTATGTGCCACGTAAAGGATAGTACACTACAAGTAGAGAGCAAAGGTTTACACTTCACAACTTCAAGATAACCAATTAAAATAAGACAGAAGTTTTATGTTTTAATAGTACATTGGAATCATGTTTGGTTTTAACCTGTATATCTTCAGGGAGTAAGATTGTCTCTTTACAAATATATCAGAATGCATTTAGTCCAATCTCTTCTCTCATCATTCAGTTAAAGTTTGTATTTTAATTGAACGGGTACCTGACTGAAAACTGGGGTTTACGGGCCCCAAACTGGACTTCAAAGATTCTTTTTGTCGTCTGCAAGACCAGTAGAGGAAAGTTAAATGTTTGATGTGGTTTTGTTGGTTTTTTTTTTTTTTGGCAGGAAGAACCCTAGACGAACTAGTTCGGAATCCTGGGGATTGTACCCTTGAGTTCACCATGTTAAATGCAAGACACCTAATTACACTGTTGGGAAGGGCACCATCGGAGTCAAAGTAGTTTTAACCAAATCTTAAAATGTTTTCTACAATGGTATAATCTGTGGTGTACCAGATATTTAATATGAAAATAAACCAAGAGTTATTCATTTTCAGAAAGCTACTGAGGGCTTTAATCTCCAGTGTAGGCTCTGGAACCAGTGGAAGTTTCTTCTGTCAGCTGCCTGCATTAAAAATGCATGTGTGTGTGTGTAGACTAGGACACCTCCATCCTACCATCTTTTGTGGTGGCAGTTTGTTTCTTTAAGAGCTTTCCATCCCAGGGAGGTACCGGGCAATCAGCCATTTCCCAGGACGACCAGAGGGATCAAAAAGCGTTGCAACTTTTCCTTAGCATAAAGAAACGCATGTGGCCATTCCCAACAAATTTCCCTTATTTCGACTATCCCTCATTTTAGCTTGGTTTTAAAGCGCTTCCAAAATCTCCTGCTGCTCAAGTGAAGTACTGTGACGTGCGTTTTAACGAGGCATTAGGAAGCGTCTAACTCATAGTACTTTTTTGATTTGCTGTCCCTCGGGCTGGCGTAGCTTTGGCGGCCGGCGGTGTGGCACCGTGCGATGCCGGGAGCAGGTGACCTCGGGGAAAGGAGGCACCTGGGGGAGGCAAGCGGGAGGGAGGTGCTCCAGCAGCCGGGCAGGGATGCTGCAGCTGGGGAGCACTGGTCCCCTCTCCTCAGCGCTGCGCATTTCCCCCACCACGTTACACGGCTGATCCCCAGCAGCCGTCCGTCAAAGGCCGGGGGGATACGCATACCTCAAATATTTACGGTGCCTGCACTTTGCGAGCGAGGCAGTTCGTTCGCGTCTGCGGACGGGCCACTTTTAAAACATCAAAATAAACCATCTGGCCGCGCAACTGTTTCTAATTACTTCCCTGCCTAGACTGTAAACTTCGGGGTTTGGCACCGGCCTCCCTCCCAGCGCGCTGCCCAAATCCCGCTCCCAGGCAGCTAATCAGAGCCACTGCAGCACGGGGGGAGCAGCCCTGGAGCTGGGCTTGTCCAGCTCGCTGCTCTCCGTGCGCGCCCCGTGATGGATGAGATGTCAGGAGCGTGGAGGTCGGGGGTGCGGAGGGAGCGCTGGAGCGGTTGGCGAGCTCTTCTTCTGCCTGCTTAAAAGTGACACCGGGGGAAGCGCTCCGGCTCGCTGTGAACCTTACTAGGTGGTGTGCAAACCGCGGGGTTACTTGCGAGGATGTATTTCGTGCCTGGGAGGCAGGCTTTTAAAGCAGGGAAGGGGGAAGAGCTGGAGGGTGCTGGCACCCAAACCTCTAAATTC